TGTTCCTGGGGATGGATTCGTTTGAAGTCTTCCCCCAGCCTCCTCTTTTCACCGTCTCTCCCTCTCTCTCTTCCCCTTCTTCTTCTTCTTCTTCTTAGCCAGGCTTATTTCAAACTGGTAAATATCTAATTCCTTTCACGGCTGTGCCGGGTGTCTTTTAGGTCCAAAGGCACCTGGAAACAGCCGGCGCCTGTGGGGTGAGCATCATCCTCGCCAGGCAGCAGGGGACCCCAGACCCCACCCTGTGGGACATGAGAAGGGGAGCACGGGGCTGTTGGAGGACCTTCCTTCGTCTGGCAGAGCCCTCCCCAGCTGCGCCCTTCCCCCGGAGGGGGGGGGGTCCCCTGGTTCCCAGTGGAGTCCCAGCTGCACCCCCTAACCTACAGCTCGGCAAGGCCCCCGCTGAGGCCCCCCCTGCACCCCCAGCGCGCCAGCCTCCGAGGGCTCCTCCGGGTCTCTGGGGCGGATAATTACGCTCGGCTCGCCTGTTCGCCCCTCGTTTCAAGTTTGTTTTCTAAACGTCTATTAGATTATATTCGTCCATTCCCCCTCCAACCTTATCTCTCCCCGTCTCTTCTCCCCTGGCCCCGTCACACTCGATTTAGGCGCGAGTTTATCTGGCACACGGTGGCGGACCTGGTGTGTTTGCCGCGGGTTCTGGGGCTGCCAGCGAGCGAGCGCCAGTGTTTGCCTTTGTAACAGTTATCCCATTGTTGTTCTTCTGGGTCCCCGCTCCCTCCTCCCTATTTCCCCTTCGGCTGGGGGGGGGGGGGAGGTGGAGGAAAGAAAGGGGGCATCTTGTCTGTCCCGCCTAGACTCGCCGGGAGCAGCCGCCTCTCCCGGGATCTTCCTCGCCAGCACAGCCGCCCCTCCCTCCCCTGGGCTCTCCCCTTCCACCCCATCCCATCCCGCAAGCCTCAGCCTCGGGTTCCACGGAATAGCCGCCACCCAGCGCCGAGTAAAGCCGGGAATCGCCAGGCGCCCTCCCGCCTTCCCGCGCCCCCATTATGCGAAGCTGATCCCACTTTGAACAGCTTCAAATCCCGCCTGGACTCTGTTTGATTAGATTGCCAACCCGGGGTAATCCTTTGATTTGGTGGAGTGTCAATTACCTTTCTCTAAACATACATTTGCCGAGAAGGGGACTTGTTGGTTTAAATCAATGTGGCTTGTTTCTTGATAAATGGGCTATCTCCCCCCCTCCTTCCCGGCTCCCTCTCCCAGGCCCCTCTCCCCCTGGGTCCCCTCCCCTCCCCTCCCCTGCCCTGCCCCGTCCTCTCTGCCCGCTGGATCAACAATGCCCCTTCCTTCCAGGTGTGAAGCCGAGGAGGGAGAGCGGCACGGGCTGAGGGGAGCCGCGCCCCCTCCCCCCATTCATTCTCCCCCGGAGCCTAATTAAATTTGGCAGGTCCTTGTACACACAATCAGAACAGCTTCCTCCTGGGTAGCAAACGACCGAAAACCGCATTAGCAGCCTCCGCTGCTGCCAAATTAAATTGTTTCCCACCTCCTCTTACAAGTGTCTAAAACTGACACTCTCCCTCCTTCCCGAGTCTTCCCCGTCACCTCCCTCTCCGCACCTGTGAGCTCGCAGCTTTACACACGGACTGAGGGAAAATGCAAGGAAACACAAACCTGCCTCCTCTCTCTCAGACACACACCTCTGCCCCCACCGAGAAGCCGGCACATTCCCAGATGGGCTTTGGCATGGGCAGCCTCCTCCTCCCTCCTCCCCCCTCCTCCCCAGAAAGAGGCACACTCCTCTTTTTTAATCTCGTTACTTTTCCCCTCGTTTCCTATTAATTGTGACCCTGCTGGGCGTTCTGCTTTGGAGAACAATGTGGAGCCCCCGGGTCTGATGCGGTCAGTTTCAGCCTAAGTGTGCACATTGCCAGATGCATGCTGGAGGCGTTGGTGCTATTATTGCTTATTGCTATTATTATTATTATTATTATTATTGCTTATTTCTTCCCATGCACTCCTTCATTCCCCACAGAAGACTGGTTTGACTCTGTGCAAACGCCTCTCAAATTTCCTACAAGCGTCTCAGGTTAGGAAAACCTTGTTCTTTTTCGTGCCTCCTCAAACCCTTTCCTGGTTGGGTCCCTGGCCTGTCTGTCCCCTGGTCCTCCGGGAAGGGGCATGGAGGAGCGTCTGTCTGAGCAGATGAGGGCAGCGGACTGTCCACTCCTCTCTCCAGGTGAGCAGAGCCTGGCCGGAGCCCCTGCGCGTAGCGGGCTGCACAGTCTCACAACCAACAATCCTAATAACTCAGTCTTAACAAGGATAAGAGCAAAAAAAAAAAAAATACGAACAGCCTCATGAATATCAGCCCAAGGGGAGCAGGAGTGAGCTGTTCAGAGATGAAAGTGCACAGAAATAAAAGCTCAATTTAATCTGCTTTAAAACCCTTCAACTGAACGTTTGTGCTTCAAACTCCGAGAGTGAGGACTGATTGCGGATAAATAGTTTCTTACCATGCCTGGGAGCTATTACACCCCTCTCCTACACCGCTTCCCATTCAGCGGCCCCCGTTTTCATTACCAGCTCTAATAAGTCTTAACGTTATTAAATGCCAAGCGGACGGTAGGAAAATGCGGGCTCAGGGAGGGATCTCTCTTTAGCGTGTAAAGAGGAGCGCTCTTAAACCCCTTCTCCCCGGGCTCCCCGCCACGAGTGGGGCAACCCCGGAGACAGCTATGTCAAAAGCAAGGAGCCGAAAAAACGAAGTTTGTGGGTGTGCACCCCTCCCCTCGCTCTGCCCATGGGGCCTCTCCCCACCTGGTTGATACGGGTGGAGGTCGGGAGGTCTTTTGGCCCCTACGTGGCCACGAAAGGGATATCTGGGGCCTGGGAGAGAGGTGAGTGGTTCCAGGTGGGCAGTTCACCCAGGTACCACACCAGGAGCTGAAAGGATTTATGCAGACAACTCTCCCAGCACCCAGCCCGTTTATACTACACCCATCTACAACCACATTGCACCCCCACACAGAATCTCACTGGTTCAGAATATAACCCTCACACTCCGACCCGACCCAAGGGCCCGTGGGCACAGTCACACCGACAGGCACACGCGCCTACGTGGCCACCTAGCTCAGGTCGCAATGCCCAACATGCCCACTGTCACTCAAACACTGAGACCAGGCTTCTCCGAGACAGGCCCTGGCTTTCCTTTCGTTTTTGCCACTCCACAGGCCCGGGTCCTGTGCTCTCAGCCTTCCCATGGGGATTGCCAGGCTCCTCCTTCATCCCTGGAGGCCTGGGCTTCCCATCCCGCTGCAGGGAAAACCTCTATCCAGCGAACTGCCGGTCTCTTGGCTGCTCTTATAACAGCCCAGACCTGCACCCGAAGCTACTTCGGACACCTTGGAGTCAGAGGGATTCCCCAAAGCACACCATCTTTCCACCCTCTTCATTTCCTTTTTTTTTCTCCCTCTCCTAAGAAATGAGTCTATTGTGCTTCCTCACAGACTGAGCTGGGCATACCCCCACCACACAGACAGACAGAAGGCAGACACAGTCCTAAAGTTTCTCCAAATAAAACCAAATCTCCCAGCACTTCACCCAGGGTCCCTCCCTCCCACAAGCGCTGCCTGCTGTGCAGGGTTTGGTGGGAAAGATTATTCCAGTTTTACGTCTCCCATCCCACAAAAAACGAAGCCCAGCTAAGTACCTTTCCAATACAGACTGAAATAAAGGCTGGGTCCCCCCATCAGCACCCCCAGGGGTGCAGGGCTCTGGGCAACCTCCGGAGAGCCAGGGGCTGCTTGGCAGGCAGGGCCCCTCCCACGGAAGACCCAGGCCCCTCGGCAGGCCCCGCGCAGCGGGGTGTCAAGCACAGCTCCCTCCCTTTTTTCCCTGCCCTTTTGTCCCCGCTGGACAGGGTTCCACTTGGGGCCCTGCATGTCAATAGCCCGCTCAGTCCCCGCTCCAGCTGCTCTCACAGGGGGCTGCCTCTGCCCAGCTCCCTCCCCCTCCAACCCGCCGGTGGGGGCTGGGCCTGGCCGCGCTTTGTCTGCGAAGTTCACCTTCAAGGTTAGGAAAGGCCACTGGGCCCTGGAGAGAGACCAGTGCCTCCAAGAGTTCCCCGGAGGCAGGAGAGGGGAGCCTCCACCGACCTCTGCCCGGAAAAGCGGACACGATGTGCCCTTTCCCCAAAGCCGCTGTTTTACAGGTTCCCATGGCCACGGCCTTTCCCGCTGCCTCCCCGTGGGCGCGTGGACCTGGGGACCCGCTTCTTTTCCTGTGAGCCGGTGACTCCGGCTTCTATTTCTCCCCACGCCCTCACATAAAGCAGGACACTTACTGCGCCTCAAAGACAACTTGGGGTGGGGTGGGGGGGCGCGAGGGACTGAGGAAGGACTTTCCCCGCTCCTAAAATTTCTTGTCTCAATGAACCACAGGGCCATCCCCTCTCCAGGAGGCGAAGGCGCTGGGAGGATGAACGCCTCCTCTAGCTCTCCTCCAGGAAAGTCAGGGTGCTGGTTAGACTCCAGTCCACCCAGAGGCGTCAGGAGGGAGGCATCAGCCCTCGCTAATTTTTATTGATTGCCTTGATTGCGGCGGTCAGTCAGCTGTCAGGCGGGGTTTCAAGGGACCGTTTAGAGAGCGTGTGCGGGGCTGGTTAACAAATTCATTTAGGGAGCCTCAGGCCGGCTCCTCCTTCCTCGCTCCCCCCCCCCCCGCCCCCATCCCTGGACCAAGTTTCCTATAAATAATAGATCGACCAGGGACCGGCAGCCAAACCCAGCCCAGCTCCCTGGCCACCTGCCCCCCACCCGGCCCGAGCACACGCCGAGGGGGCGCCTTCCCACACCCCAAGAGGCTCCTGGCTGCTCCAGAGTCGCGAGTTCTCCCCAAGTTCTGCCTGCCAGTCCTGGACCCGGAAGCAACACGCAATAGAGTCACCCCGGCAGCCCGCAGCCAGCGAGTCACCCGCCGGCGGCGGCGCAGCCAGCGTGCGGCACAGGGGGCCCCACTTGGCCGTGGAGGGTCCCTACCTTTGTCGCCCAGGATGCCGTCGATGCTGTGCTTGGCTTTCTTCTCCCCGTCCTCTTCCTTCTTGTCCCCGTCGTCGTCGTCCTCTTTCTTCCCGAACTTGATTCTGAGCACTCGGCTAATCGAACTCACTAAACCTCAGAAAGTCAAAGGCAACAGAGCGAGTATAAGTTGTTGGGGTGAGGGCCCGCAGGCTGCCTGGGCCCTTGGAAGAAAGTCCTGAAGCCCTTCCCCCTAATACTCTGTCCCGGGATTCACCCCCACAGGTCACATTTACAGGAGGACAGAGGCCCCCGTGGGCAGGCCTGGCGCACACAGGGGCACGCACGCACTCAGTGGCAAGACTGGCAGACACAGCCAACTGTGTGTTCCTGCCCTAGACCCATCCTGGCCCTCACCTGTGCCTTTCACGTTACCTACTGGGGTGCACTCACACCCACACCCCCTTCCCCAGGACCCCCCTGGAGGCAGGCCCATAGCCCTGGCTGTTGCAGCCACCTGCAGGTGTGGACCCCCTGCCTGCACCAGGGCCCCTGCACGCACTCCCTGCAGGCAGCCTGGCACAGGACCACAGGACGGGGCCTCACATTGGGGACCCACTGATGTCTAGTGGCAGCAGCAGAGCAGACACCGGTGTCTGCAAGAAGGGGGTCCAGGAGCCCAAGGAGGTCAAACCTCCTGGGACAGCCCTGTCTCCAGGCCACTTTCTAGGGAAATGCCAGGGAGCGTTTCTGCCTCTTCTTTCCTTCCTCCCCCCATCTTCCTTTCTTCTTTCTCCTTCATCTATCTCCTGTGTCCTCACTGTCTCTCAGCTCCTCTTCCCTCCCGACTTTTCTCCAAGTTCCCCACCATCTGTCAGCGCCCTCACATCCCTCCCAGACCCCCAGCACCCCGCAGCCCCGCTGGCTCAGCTGCCTTCTCACCTGAGGGCACGGTGCTGCGGTCACAGTGCCCGTCCTTCAGCAGCCGGTCCCGGATCTCCCAGCTGAACATGCCCGGGTTCTCCCGCTTGTACTCCTCAATCTTCTTCTCCACATCCGGGGTCGCCACCTGCTTCAGAGGTGGAGGTGGGGGAGCAGGATTGGGGAGAGACTTTTAATATCAACTTCCGGAGAGCCCCGGGCCAGCCGGTGGCTCTGGGAGGCATGCCCTCCTCCCGAAATAGGCTGTGTATCCTTTCAAGGAACCCATCTGGCTCCAAGGAAGGCAGTGTGTGTGTGTGTGTGGGGGGGGAGAGGGTAGAGATAATGAACTAGAAACCTCCCCAGGACCCACAGATCCTCCTCCTCACTATTTCAGACAACACTGAGGGGGGGGACCCTGTCCCTGGTCTGGGATGGTGACAGGGGGTTGGGACAGATGTAGGGACAGCCCAGGAATGACTCCCTGGCCTCAGAGTCCCAGGCCACCCAGACCCCCGTTTTCCCATTCCTGTGAAATTCAAACAATGGGGAGGAATAGCTGGGGGGTGAGGACTGTATTTTCCATACGAAGCCATAGTCACCCGGATGGCACAACGTGGTGACAGGGGCCAGGAACCCCCCCACCACCACCACCACCACCACCACGGAAGGAAGGCCTCCGGCCGGCCGTTCTAGGGCAGACACTCACTCTGGGCTTGCTGCCTCCGATGGCCCCGGGCCGGATGGAGCCGGTCTCCTGGTAGCGGCAGAGGATCTTGGACACGCAGCCATGGGACACGCGCAGCTGGCGGGAGATGACGCAGGGCCGGATGCCGTGGTGGGCCATCTCCACGATCTTGTGGCGGATGTGGTTGGGCAGGGGGCGCCCATTGATGAAGACCCCGCCGAGCTGGTTGACCCGGCCCTGGCCCAGCGGAGTGGACACTGGGGAAGGGAGGGGAGGAGAGACAGGGGCGCAGGGTGAGGGTGGGGAGGAGGCCCAGGCTGCGCCCCTTGGCTCCAGTTTTCCTGGAGCCCCAAGACCTCTGACAGCGCTGAGCTCCCCACGTTCCTTAGTTGGGAGCTGTGGCAGGTCAGTGATCAGAAAGAAAAGTCCTGAAGTGGAGGGAGGGTCCTGCAGGGACGGAGGGGGTCACAGCTGGCTGCACGAGTCCCCGGTGCAGTCAGCCGCCAGTCCTGCCACTCAAGTGGAAGGACTGGGACCTCTGAGGAGGGCAGGGAGAGCGAGAGGGAGTTTGGGGGCTCTGGGACCAATGGCTCTCTGGCCCCCAGGGTGCAGCTTGGGCAGTGGGTTGTCCTGGCAGGACCTGGGAGGCAAGATGTGGCCCATCCGGCCAGCTCCTCGCTCCAAGAGGTCAAGGGGCTTCTGTGTGTCGGGGGCCAGAAGGTCTGGTGGATGGCTAGTGTTGACAGCCCCATTTAGCCGCCACCCTAATGGGACAGCTGAGGACAGGTGATGCGATTCCATTCCCCCCTGCCTCTGGGGGCACCAGGCAGTGCCTCAGGGATGCTTCTTGCTTCTAACCTCTCGCCAAGTTCTAATTTCGTTTTGGGACGATTGGGGACCTACAGGCTCCGTTGTGGGCAGGCAGTCTCCTACAGGAAATACCTGCTTGGGCCCAGAAGTGCTCGGACCGGGCTTGCGGGCTCCAGCTCCAGGAGGTGGCACCCAGAGGGCTGGGGTCCCTGGGGGTGGGGGTCACTTTGGGAACCAGGAGGACGAGCCCTCCCTCCGGGTGTGCACTGGAGAGGGAACCTTTGCGCCTGGAAGCCTTCATGCAAAGTCTACACAGTTTGCTGGGAAGGTTGGGGGACCCCCGCCGGTACACTAATCCGGCCTCGATCCCCCCAATTTGGGGACTTGGCGGCTGCGGAGATCCGGCAGATTAGAACGATTTCACAGCAGCCGCGGCGGAGGGAGCGGAGGAATAATTGGAAGGGAGGAGGCGAGAAGAGACTCCGGCTGCCGCGCGGTGCCTGCCGCCTCCTCCCTCGCTCCGGCGGTCCCCCCACCCCTCTCTTTGCAAAAAGTGGGTGTCTGAAGCCACCCTCGGATTTAATCAGGAATCGTGCGTCGCCTAGCTAGAGTCCCTCGGTCTCCGCGGCGGGATATGCCATTCGCGCTGGAGGGCCCTCGAGCGCCCAACTTTATATTCAAGAGCCTCTTGAGCGCCCGGCGCCCGGCGCTCCTCAGTATTCTCCGTCATGTTGGGCAAATATTGTCCTAATCCGCCGCGCGTCCCGGCCGCCGCTTCTCCCCGCATTCGCCACGGGCGAGCGCGCGGCAAATCCCCGGGCCCGGCGCCCTCCGCCCGCCGGCCGCTCGCGCGCACTTGATCACGGAGCCGCTCTCCTCGCCGCCGGCGTCCAATTCCGAGGCCCGCGCCGCCGTCTCGCTGCCAGAGGGACCCCCCCCTCCCCTTTCTCCTTCTCCCCGATCGCAGGCTGCCCGCCCGCCCATCCCCGCCCGGCCTGCCTCTCCCAGCCGCACGCACCAGGGGCCTTTAGAATCACAAGAAGAGTGATTAAAAAATAAAAGCCGCCCCTCTCCGTGACACCCTGGGCTACCTACCCCCGGGAGCGGAATGACTTCCCAGTGGACAGGTTGAAGACCTTCCATTAGTTAAAATAAAAAAAAAATAAAAAAAAGAAAGAAAGAAAAGAAAAGAAAGAAAGAAAGAAAATAAAAGAAAACAAAACAAAACAAAAAAAACAAAACGAAGACGCAGGAAAGGGTCTGGGCGGCGCGTCCTCTGCGCTCTCCCGGGCCGGTGGGGAACCGGCTCCGTCCTCTTTGCTCACCCGGCGCTGATGTTGTGGAGGACACATCACAAAATGAACGCTCCCCCTGCTCTGCACACCGCGGGGCCTTCTGAAGGTTCTTTCCCGGGAGACTTCCAGAGCCCCCAAGCCCGAGCGAAAAGTTTGGCGGGGAGCGGGGGGCAGGAATCCGTTACTCGTTATCATTTCTCATGAGTTTGTTGCAGACCCCAACGCAGGAGAGAGTCGCTTTGGCAGAAGCGGATCGCCTTCCCCGTTTTTAGATATTAAAATAGCACGCACGCTGGTATTTCGGAATAAAAGGGATAGGAAGACAATCCGGAGAGGAAAAAGAAACATTTTAAAACCAGAGTAGGACGCCCGTAGCCTGGGGACGCAGAAAGCCAGGGCACACCGGAGGAGGGGGAAAAGTATCCGAAAACAGAGGGAAGAACGGCAATTCCCCGGGAACTGACATTTACCCGGGTCCCCCGTCGACCGGGTCAGCTCTGCGGGGAAAGGCCAGAGCCTCCGACCCTGGAAGCTGGGGCCGATGGGGAGTGAAACCAACACACAACCCGACGAGGGTCGATCCCAGGAACTCCCTGGGTCTGGCGCCCGGACTTGGACCCAGAAGGGAAGGGGACCCCGGTGCTGCCGCCGCCACCCCTCCCTGGAGACGGCCACCTCTCCCTCCGGGGACCTGGCGTTCCCGGCGGCGGAGCGTGGCCGGGCACCCCGCGCCTTACCTTCCAGCGGGAAGCCGGTGCGGGGGTAGCTCTGCCCGGGCGCCGGCCGCATCATCCTGGGCACCGCGCCGGGGAGGCCCGCCATGGCCGCACCGGGGACGGACGGCTCCGCGGCCGGCAAAATAGGCGCGTTCCGTCCTCTCTCTTCACCCTTGCTGCTGCGATCGCTTTCTTCCCTTCTTTTTTTCTTCTTCTTTTCTTAACCTCTTCCCGCTCCCCTACCCACACGCTCTGCCCGCCCCCCCCGCCCCGTACCCCCGGCCGCAGCCTCCGAGCCCAGCAGCAGGGGAGGGGGGAGCGGCGGTGGGGGCGGAGGTGGAGCGGGGAGGAGGGAAGGTGGCGACGAGGAAGTTCAGACAAACAAACACGCCAGCCAAGCCCAAGTCCGCCGCTGCCCCTCCGCTCCGCCGGGGAGGCAGTGCGGGTGGACGCTCCGGGCGGACCGGCCCCCGGCCTGGCACTGGGACTGGAGAGCGCCGCGCTCCCGCGCTCCCGGCCAAAGTTTCTGAGCCGGGAGGCTGCGGAGCGGATCCTTTCCCGTATTTATTTATATATTTATTCTCTCGTCCTCCCTCCCCCCTCCTCCGCTCCGCACTGGTCTCCACGCCTTTCTCCGGACCACACTCCTGCGCCCTTACGCGCCGGCTCTCACCCCCGCCCCCGGGGCGCGCGGGGAGGGGAGAAGGTGCCTCGGGGGGTTCGGGGCCCGAGGGGAGGCGACGGGGGATGCCGAGGGGGCGAGCGGTGCTCTGGGTAAGTTGTGCAAAGTGCTCCGCTGGAGTACGAGCAGGAGGAGGAGGCCGCTGCGGGAGATCTGATAGGTTCGGACTCTTATTGATGAGGAGGGAAGGGACTCAGAACCAATAACGAAAAGAAGTTGCCAACCAATTTTTTGTCCCCTATTTTCTAATCCCCGACTGGACCTGGTGTTGGGGGAGAATTGGAACTGCCCGGTAAAACCCAGGGAGCAAAGGCCAGGAGACTGGATGGGGGGCGGAGGGAGGTTAACTTTGTCCCAGCGTCTCCTTTGGACGGATAGGTGGCCCCGCGGAGTGCCCCCCCTCCCCGCGCCCAAGGCCCTCGCTCCTGGGCTGGCGGCTGCAGGGAATGTCTGCCTCGGCTCCTCTGGATTCTCTCTCTCTCTCTCTCTCTCTCTCTCTCTCTCTCTTTCTCTCTCTCTCTCGTTTCCAGGGTCAGTGGCCGCTGCATTCACATCTCCGTTTTCTCACTCGCACACGTAATTTTCCGCGCGTGGGGCCGAGGGTGACGGCAAGGGAGCGATTTACGACTTTCTCTGGAATCGAGTCAGCTCTGAGAGTGACCGGACAGGGCCTGGTGCTTAAAAAAAGGGGTCTGTAGGGTGTCAGGGACGCCCCCCTCTTCCATCCTCCCCACCCCCCCATCATGCCCACATCCCTGGCGCAGCTCCGAGGGTTAAAACCCTCACCCTCTCCGCCTCCCAGGCCACACCCAGCACTCATTTGCAGCTCGTAGTCGGGTTCCCTGAGGCTGAACCCCAAAGGGGTGCCATGCCCAGGATCTGGGGGGCCAAAGGGGCAGGAGGGAGGGAGGGGGCGAGTCAGCACTTGGTACCACCCCAGCTCAGTGTTTGGAGGGGACACGCCCCAATGGCGCGGTCAGGAGTGGGGGTGGGGTGGTCAGAGAGGCCCTGACATTCTGGCGCTCCTGGGCCTGAGCGACTAGCTGCCCCGGCCCCATGGACGCTGAATCCTGGGGGCGAACCGCCCTCCCAGCGGGGCAGGACGCCGCGGCCGCGGGCCTTTTGTCTCCCCCGGGAGAGTGTCTCCAGCTCAGCGCTGGCGGCGAAATACAATAAAATAAACCAGCCCGCCCGCCCGCCCTCTCCAAGCGGGGTCAGCCTCTTGGCCTGGGGGCTTTCCTCAGGCTGCCCCACTGCGCCCGCCCCTCCGCTTCCTCACCTGTGACCTCTGCCCTCTCAGCATGTGACCCCCCCTCCAGGCGGGGCTCTCAGGCTGGGGAGGGGCGGCCCTTTGGGAATGGAGCCCATGGGAAGGTATGAAGCCCACCGCTTCCGGCCCCAGAATTGAAAGGGGGACCCCAGAGGGCCTTGTCCAGACCGGGGCGCCCGCTGCCTGGGTCACAGGGGTTTTCAGGTTCCTTTCTTTGTGGCAGTGCCACTCCACTATGGAGTGATGGAGGGCCACTCCGGCCCCAGGAGAGACTAGGCCTGTGTGTGATGTGTGTGCGTGTGGTGTGTGTGTGATGTGTGTATGCATGTGTGGTGCGTGTGTATGATGTGTGTGTGTGTAGTGTGTATGTGGTGTGTGTTTGTGGGGGGGTGATGTGTGTGTGTGGTGTGTGTGTGGTGTGTATGATGTGTGTGTGGTGTGTGTGATGTGTGTGTGGTGTGTATGTGCGTGGTGTGTGTGTATGTGTGTGTGGTGTGGGTGTATGATATGTGTGTATGTATGTGGTGCGTGTGTGTGGGGTGTGTGGTGTGTATGTGTGTATGTGTGTGTGGTGTGTGTGTGTGTGTGGTGTGTGTGTATGTGGTGTGTGTGTGGTGTGTATGTGTGTGTGGTGTGTGTATGATGTGTGTGTGTATGTGGTGCGTGTGTGGGGTGTGTGTGTGTGGTGTGTGTATGGTGTGTGTGTTTTTTGGGGGGTGATGTGTGTGTGTGGTGTATGTGTAGTGTGTGTGTGTGGTGTGTGTGTGTGATGTGTGTGTGTGTGGTGTGTGTGTGTGTGTGGTGTGTGTGTTTGTGGGGGGGTGATGTGTGTGTGTGGTGTATGTGTAGTGTGTGTGTGTGGTGTGTGTGTGTGATGTGTGTGTGTATGTGGTGCATGTGTGTGGTGTGTGTGTGGTGTGTGTTTTTTGGGGGGTGATGTGTGTGTGTGGTGTGTGTGTGATGTGTGTGTGTATGTAGTGCATGTGTGTGGTGCGTGTGTGTGGTGTGTGTGTGTGTATGTGGTGCATGTGTGGGGGGTGTGTGTGTGTGTGTGTGTGTGTGTCTGGGAAAGATGAGGTAGACTTCACATCTCATCCTGCTGGAGGCTCAGGCCTGTCTGGACCCCCAGAGGTGGCTCTCCATGGCATGTGCATGCATATGCATGCAGCTATACACATACATATGTTACATATATTGTTCACTCACTCATTTATTCACTCATCACTGATCTCCCTCTGGGCGCAGAAGGATTCAGGGCGCCTCTGCTCCGTCCCTGGGGGTGGCGGCCAGGGGGCTGTGTAGGCGGTGTGTGTGCGGCGCTGCTGGAGGCTGTGGCCAGGGGAAGGGCCTGTGTGTATAAGCGAGCATCTGTGTCCGTGTTTATGTCTTGGCGTCTCTCCCATGTTGCCTTAGTGTAGCTCCCTGGCTGTCCAGAGGTGTAAGTGGTGTTTGGAGAAAGGAGCCTGGAGCGAACCTGGTGCAGAGGCCAGAACACCGTCCCTCCTCTCCGCCTTGGCACTGGGCCCCTCCCAACAGGGTGGGGAGAGCCTACAGCAGGACACGGGGTTCAGGGCCAACAGCTGGGCAAGCAGAGCCACTTAACCCTTGGCTCGGCTCCTGCCCTCCCTGGCAGCCCACTCAGAGTGGCGGGTCCAGTAGCAAGGACCCCGCCCCCTTAGCCTGCTCCCCCAGACCCAACGCTGGTGGGCCAGCCCTGCCTGGTCACAGCCTGGGGATTCCGTGGGCTCCCGAGGAGGGGCAGGTGCGGGGAGGAGGGGAGTATGTGTTGGAATGAGCGTGGCTGGTCTCGCCTGCTGGAGACCAATTTCACAAATGATTTTTGCAACAATTAAGAAGTGTGGCGGGGTGAAATGGCGATTTCACATCCAGCAGGGGAAAGGGGGTTCACCTGGGAGTGGGGGCGGCTTCGGCTGGAGGTGGGGGTTGGAGTTTCCCCCTCCTCTCAGTTCCCCTCGCTCACCTGCTTGCCTCAGGGCACCCCCACAGAGACCCCCAGTCACTGCTGCCAGCACAGAGGGGCGTCCTCTGCATTGCGGTGCAGGGCTGGGCCTGGCCTGGGAAGTTTTCCCTCAGCCTCTCCTCCTGCTCCCTCTGTCCCTCTCTCCCTGCTCCTTCCTCCTCGGTCTCTCTCTCTCTCTCTCTCTCTCTCTCTCTCTCTCTCTCTCTCACAACGCCCCTTTTCTTTCCCTGTCCCCCCACACTCTGTCACGGCCCTTCCATCTCTTTTTGTCTCTTTCTCTTTCCTCCTTGTCTTTCTGGCTTCTCCCAGCGGTTTCCCCCTCTCGGCCTGTGCATCGTCCACCGCCTCCCCATCTCCATGGTTTCCTGAGGTATGTCCAGCCCCCGCCGCTCCCCCAGCCGCTCCCCCAGCCCCTGCTGCTCCGGCTGTAACTCAGACCTGAGTCCCTGGGAGAGCCCTTGGCGTGGGGCAGAGGCCTTCCGGAGGGGCCCCTCTGCTTTGCCTCTGTCTCCTCCTCTCTCTAAAGCACCGGCTCCCAATCTTCTGTGGCCACGCCCACCTAAGCGTCTCTAAAACCCTGATGCCTCCCCCCCCCCAAATATAATTATTATTACTCAAAAAGAGAACTCCTTCCTACCCATGTGGAGGAAGCCTCACAGGCCATTAACTTGGTCTAAACAAGCTTCCAAAGAACATGGCATCCAGAGAGAGAAAAAAATAAAAGCACAAAAGAAACAGTTGAAGTACGGAGGAAGAAATCACTCAGAAATTGTTCTTAAAAAATGGAGTGATATGAAAAAAATAGCAAATCAAGTTTCAAAGCATGCATGCACTAGAGAACTGAAATGCAACATACAATATAGGATCGTGAGAAGTGCAATACATTTTACTGTTAATAACTCATTCTTGAAGTGCCCCCCTTAAACATCAAATTGCCCCCCCCCAGGGGCGTGTGCCCCACGCTGGGAACCACTGCTCTAAAGGAGCCCCTGCTCCAGGCCCAGCCCAGCCCGACTCCAGTCCCCCACCCCCCACTCCCAAATCACCCCACGCTAACTGTCCCCACCTCCCCCTCTGCCTGTCCCTCCCCCCCTCCCTCCCCCCCACCCCCAACTTCATTTAGAAGGCAACAACAGTGCTAATAGAAAGTCTTTTTCCCGAGTTCCCAAATGC